CACAGCTCCGCGCTGAGCTGCGCATAATGCGCAAGGATCTCGCGCGTCGCTGGGCGGGCCCCCAGCGAGCTGCGCTCGCGAAAATGTTGGAACATAGCCTCGGGGGCTATCACTGACCATTCCACCCCTGGGGCACGAGCGAGGTTCGCCTTCAAAATCGGCCGCAACTCGGGCCCGTGTTGTACCAGTGCCTGCTGCCATTCCCTGCGACGCGCGATGCCGCGCGCCGCGGCCCCGGCAGCCCCTCCCTCGGCCCCTGAGCGGGCCGCTCCGTGGAATGGGTCGCTGAACGTGGACTCGGGGGCGCCGCTCGCACGAGGCTCTTCTCCCGCGACGCCCCCCTCGGCGAAGCCGCCAACCCTGTCGGGCCTGGAATGCCCAGGGGGCGCAAGGGGGGCGGCGGGACCAACGGCGGCGGGAGCGAAGGGCACGCGCCCTCAGGCCCGCTTCTGCTCCGAGCCGCCACCGGAGCCGACGCCAGATCAGCTGCGCGGCCGCGAACCCGCTGCGGCGGGGGGGGGGCGACTGGGCGAGCATCGCCTGAAGGTCTTCCTGGTGGATGCCTACGCGCGCCGCCTCGTCGGCGAACAGCTGCGGCGCCTCGAGGCGGGTTCCGCGCGAGTCGGCGCGAGCCTCCCAGGGGGCGCGGCAGCCTGGGCCGCGCCCGCAGCCGGCAGGCGCTGGCTCTCCAGGTGGACCTCCGCACGAGTCGTCGGCGCTCCGCCGCCCGGGGCCACAGCGATGGCCCCCCCCGCCGCCTGCGGACGGGCCATGGCACCCCGTGGTTTCGGCTGCGCGTCCAAGCTCGGGCCGGGCGAAGGGGGGGGGGATCGCAAAGGGGGGCGGTTGAGAATCAGCTCGCGTGTAGCTGATTCTCCTGGAGCCCCCCGGCGCCGGGAGGCGCCCATGTATGTCGAGGAAGGGGCCCGGCGGCGGGGCCGAAACCAGCGCTGCCTGCAGCAAATTTCGTAACCCCCCCTTGCCCTATCCCCGCCTTTCGTTCGGCCCGATAAGCGGTTTCGCACCGACACGGACCCCCCTCGGCGGCGGAGCCCGCACCGGGAGGGGACGGATGGCGTCGGCCTCGGCGTCCTCCTCTGGGCCGTCCGCCCAGGAGCTCGTCCGCAGACTGCTACGGGGTAGCCCTCTCGGCGCCGCTCCCCGTCGCTCGGACGTCCCTTCCCTGTTTTGGGTTGGTTTCGTGCGTGGCTTGTTCGCAGAATGGTCCAGAGTGCTCCTCAATAATCCCCGCCGAGAAAACGTGCACACGTCCGAGCGATACCCGTCCCCCTCGACGGCGGGCGCGCCGTGGATGGCGAAGCAGCCACCGCGAAAAACGCGCACAACCCGCTGGGCGCGGCCAGTGCGCACGACCGCGGGCACACCCGTACGGGACAAGCCCGTCGATGTCTCCCTCGTCCAGCGGGTTGAGAGCCTCGAGATCCATCTCCGAGACCTCTAGGTCGACCACCAGCACGGATGCGGTGGTGCTCAGCAGGCGAGATGCCGCGCCCAGCAAGGGCAAAAAGACCACTTGGAAGGGTCCCACCGGCCCTGTAAATCCTTCCGCCTCCGCCGGACTGGGGCTGTCGGCCGAGCAGAAGGACCCGGGCAACGCCAGCAGGATACCTTCAGGACGCGAAGCCAGGGGGATCGCGGCGCAGCCTAGCTCGCCCTCGCCCAAGCGCCAGTGGTCGTGTCTGGTGGCCGACGACGCAGTGAAGATGAAGGTCGGGCCACACAGGGCCTCCGGGGGTTGCAGGTCCCCCAGCAGCAATGGCGGCGACTGCCAAAGCCGGCAGCGCGCGCCGAGTGACCCGCAGGCCACCTGAGAGTACGACTAGCCTCGGACCGGGGCAGTGAGCGGGCCCTGCACCAGGGCCCGCGCGGGCTCCTCAGCCCGCGCTCCTCGGCCGCGAACCAGGGCGCACTGCGCTCCGATCGCTAAGGGCTCCGATCGCGGCCCCCGCGACCGTGCCCGCTAAGGGCTCCGATCGCGGCCCCGCGCGGGGGAAGGCACCCAGCCCCCACCAGCGGGACACAAGGGCCCCGATGCAGCAGCACCCGCAAAGGCTGTGGCGCCGATGAGGGCCACCACCGAAAGCAGCACAAGGGCGACCCCGCTGCTCGAGCCCACCGGCAGGCAGCCGGTGGGGCAGGCCGCGCCCCGAGCGGCAGAGGGGGCAGCGCCCCCCGCCGCTAGGGGTCGGCCTGTCTGGCCCACGGCGACCCCGCGGACGAGGCGCCGAGGTCCACAAACGACGGGAGCTGCTGGCCCACGAGCCGCTCGCAGAGCGCGGCTCGCCGCTCGCCAGCCTCGGGAGAGCAGCTCACCCGCCCCCGAATGGCCGCCTGAGCGAGCGCCTGAATAGGGCGCCCGCCGAAGGGGGCCGCGAGGGGGGGCCAAGCAGCTGCAGCGACCGCGAAGCGCAAAGGAGAAGGGAGAACAAGAGAGAGCACGCCGTTGATCAGAGTGAGGGGGCCGAACGGTCATTTATTGTCCCTGGGTGTGTGGTTGACAAAGGAATTCGTGGTGAGATTTCTGCTTGTTGCGTTGCTGTTGTTGGTGCTAATGTTGTTGTTGTTGTTGTTGTTGTTGTTGTTGGTGTTGTTGTTGTTGTTGTTGTTGTTGTTGCTGTTGTTTATTGTCGTCGTCCCACCCGCGACCCACCCGCGACCCACCCACGACCCACCCCGCGACCCACCCCACGACCCACCCCGCGACCTACCCTGCGACCGACCCCGCGACCCACCCAGCAACCCGCACGCGACCCACCACGCGACCCAACCGCGACCCAACCCGCGACCTACCCGTGACACACCCGCGACCCACCCGCGACCCCACCCGCGACCCACCCTGCGACCCATCCGCGACCCACCCGCGACCCACCCCGCGACCCACCCCGCGACCCACCCTGCGACCCACCCAGGAAAAAACACCCGGACCCCACAATTGACGTTTTTTAACGGACCTGGGCGTTGACTAAACATCCCTGCCATGTTCGATTCGTCCCTTGCGCGTGTTTTCTAAACGGCTTCGCACGTCGGGGTGATTATTATGGGGTGGATTGTCTCCCCTCTACACCCGCGACCCACCCGCGACCCATTTGCGACACACCCGCCACCCACCCGCGACCCATTTGCCACCCACCCACGACCTGCACACATTGGTTTAACGAAAAAATCTGCACCTGCGGCGGTGTCGTTGTTCAATGTGTGAAACTTGGGCGCCTGCGGCTGCCTTCTCCAGAGTCTCGCAAACTGCCGACGTCCCCACCGCCCCCTCACTCTTGTCCGCATCTGCGGGGTGCTATGTATATTCTTCGACTCCTAGACGGCGACCTAATTACCCCTCGCGCCACCCCGTCGTGCGCGCCGTCGGCTGTTCCACTCGTCCACGAACTCGAAGAATGCCTCGAGCGCGGCGCGTTCCTCGGGGCGGAGGTCATGGTGCCAGAGGTCGACGGCCAGCACGATGCGATCCTCGGCCGTGGGGTTGGTGGGGGGACAAACGTCGGCACGAGCATGAACCTTCGGAAGTCTCGGAGGAGGAAAATATACCGATACCGCTACGATTCCCTCGTCGCCGTGGCTGGATTCGCCTCGACATAATATGCGGTCAGAACACACCCCGGAACAGGTCTTGGGGGGCGGCGGTATCGGTACCGTTTTATCCCCCCAAGGGAACCGCGCGGACTCCTCGGACCAGCGCTGCACCCCCTTCCCAGGAGCGTTGAGCCCGCCAGGGGCAGCGCCAGAGACGCCGCCAATAGGGATGCCGGGGGCAGCGCTGGTCCAAGGAATCCGCGCGGGCCTCCGAAAGCTCATACTTATGCAAATGTCTCTCCCTCGAGCTAAACGTCGTGTGCGTGAACGTCTGGTCAAACACGAGGCACCCTCCCTCGGCCCACGTCCGCCTCTCGCCGCCGCATTCTCTCCGACGATCCTCGGAGCGCGTGCCAACGCCATCGTGCGCTTGTCCACCGAAGCCCTTCGATACATACGATGCAGGCGGTGTCATGAGGGACTGGAAAGGCTGCGTGGTACCAGTCGAGCTGAACGGGGTGAGCTGAACACCTCCTGAATGGGGCCCGCGTGGATGAGATCGGAAGGTCGCGCCGAATCGCCAGTGCATCACCGATACATCGGCGATGCATCGGCGCCGTGGGCGTGGAAAATTACCCTGGCGACGTACCCAACCCCTGCGCAAAAGCGGGGCGCAAATAGTTTAGGATACTTTATAAGGGGGCGATGACGGAGCGAGGGTTACATATGTCTGCAGACGGAATTCGGGAGACTCGCAGGACACTGGCTACAGGAAAAGGGCTTGATAAAGCTGATGATTTACAATTCCTGAGCACTCCTAGCCACTTCGAAAACGGGGATCACAGCAGGCCTCGAAAGAGGCGACAGGTTCGCAGATCGCAGCCCCGCAGGGATGGCGAGGTCTCATTTGAATCTGCCCGTGGCCCTCACTGTGCTGGGCCCCCCAGCAGGCCTCGAAAATGGCGACAGTTTCGCAGATCGCAGCCCCCCAGGGATGGCGAGGTCTAATTTGAATCCGCGCGTGGCCCTCACTGTGCTGGGCCCCCCAGCAGGCCTCGAAAATGGCGACAGTTTCGCAGATCGCAGCCCCCCAGGGATGGCGAGGTCTAATTTGAATCCGCGCGTGGCCCTCACTGTGCTGGGCCCCCCAGCAGGCCTCGAAAATGGCGACAGTTTCGCAGATCGCAGCCCCCCAGGGATGGCGAGGTCTAATTTGAATCAGCGCGTGGCCCTCACTGTGCTGGGCCCCCCAGCAGGCCTCGAAAATGGCGACAGTTTCGCAGATCGCAGCCCCCCAGGGATGGCGAGGTCTAATTTGAATCTGCCCGTGGCCTCACTGTGCTGGGCCCCCCAGCAGGCCTCGAAAATGGCGACAGTTTCGCAGATCGCAGCCCCCCAGGGATGGCGAGGTCTAATTTGAATCTGCCCGTGGCCCTCACTGTGCTGGGCCCCCCAGCAGGCCTCGAAAATGGCGACAGTTTCGCAGATCGCAGCCCCCCAGGGATGGCGAGGTCTAATTTGAATCCGCGCGTGGCCCTCACTGTGCTGGGCCCCCCAGCAGGCCTCGAAAATGGCGACAGTTTCGCAGATCGCAGCCCCCCAGGGATGGCGAGGTCTAATTTGAATCCGCCGTGGCCCTCACTGTGCTGGGCCCCCCAGCAGGCCTCGAAAATGGCGACAGTTTCACAGATCGCAGCCCCCCAGGGATGGCGAGGTCTAATTTGAATCCGCCGCGATTACCCTCTATGCAGGACCCCCCAGCAGGCCTCGAAAGTGGCGACAGTTTCACAGATCGCAGCCCCCCAGGGATGGCGAGGTCTAATTTGAATCCGCCGCGATTACCCTCTATGCAGGACCCCCCAGCAGGCCTCGAAAGTGGCGACAGTTTCACAGATCGCAGCCCCCCAGGGATGGCGAGGTCTAATTTGAATCCGCCGCGATTACCCTCTATGCAGGACCCCCCAGCAGGCCTCGAAAGTGGCGACAGTTTCACAGATCGCAGCCCCCCAGGGATGGCGAGGTCTAATTTGAATCCGCCGCGATTACCCTCTATGCAGGACCCCCCAGCAGGCCTCGAAAGTGGCGACAGTTTCACAGATCGCAGCCCCCCGCAGGCAAGACAGAAAGAGGCAGGAAAGAGGCGGGAGGCGGGAGGAGGAAGGACGCGACCACACTGCTCTATTCAAAACGAATACCCAACCAAGGAGGGTTGGGAAAAACTGGTTCCAAATCGAGCCGCGCCGCCAGCGCATCGGCGACGCGGCGCGACCCTCCGGTCCCATCTACGCGGACCAGACGTGGGAGGCATGTGGCGGGTTCCAGAAAGCCTGAACCCAATCACAAATGCATAATTGTCTTGCTGGTGCGTGTGTGTTACTTCTTTCGCTTTACTGCATCGCGCCCAGTGCACACGCCTTCAGGGCGGACGCTTCAGAAGGGGCCCAGGGTAAAAATCAGCGGACGTGCAGCGCACGACGTGGCCGTTCGTGTCGAGAAGTGCTGCCCGCGGAGGCTACGCACTGGATCACGAAGGCGTGTGCCTTGCGGGCACCCGCCCCGCCCATCGCGCCCCCGCCGGCGGAGGCCGCCCCCGCTTGGGCGTCCGCCGCCCTTCCGCCGAGGGCGAGGCACGCCGAGGGCGAAAGGCCTCTCTTCGCAACGGGCAACGTTTTGGAGGCGGCTGGGGGGCCCGAGCGCTGGAGACAGGCCCAGAGAAATCCTGTCGAGAGGGGGGGGGCACCAGGCAAGCCTGAAGGCCTCCTGGACGTGCGGCCCGAGCAGATGGGGTCGGATGACCGCGCCGCATCGCCGAGGCATCGGCGACGTCGGCGTGGACGAAATCGGGCTGCATATCGAGCCGCATCGCCGATGCCTCGGCGATGCGGCGCGGTCCTCCGACCCCATCTGCTCCGACCCCATCTGGGAGGCCTCGACAGTCCGCTCGAAACATGTCCCCAGACACCTCCTGGGTTCGAAACCGACCAGCAGTGGCGACGAGGGGGCTTTTCCTCCACCCCCTCCTGCTGGCCCGAACCAATGCTGGCCCACCTCGGCCCCCCAGCTGGTTCCAAGCCTCACATCGGGGAGACTTCAGACTCGGGTTCGGGAGGCCCGGGTTGGCCTGACGGGGACATCATCAAATAGACGAGCCTCAGCCTGAAATTTGACGCGATCTCCCGCTGCAAGCATGCCACGAAAACTGGACCGTCAAAATCCAGGTCATGCTGGGCCAAAAAAGTGCCAGCCAACCCGAGTTCTGGCGTACTCGGGTCCCACGTTTCCCCGATCACATTGAGCCAACACACGTCCTGGGGATCGTCGGTCTATCCACGGCACCTCGCCGCCCGAGGGCACCGAGAGCCCCACGTGACAGCAGGACACCATGTTGAGGCAGTCGGTGTGCGGCTCGAGCCCAGTCCCAGGTGCCTGCCTCAGCAGACTCATGCTCTCGGGGGGAAGCATGCCCTCCGAGCGCAGGTGCTCCACGAAGGCAGCAACGTGGGGCAGATCTAGAAGAATAAAAAACAACCACGCATACAAACTTTCAAAGGTCCGCCAGGAGTTCTTGGATGCGTGCTGGACCCCCCTCCCTGGCGCGCGGAGCGCGCCAGGGGCGGCGCCCAAGGCACCGCATGGGGGGGTCCAGCGCCCATCCTAGAAATCCGCGCCCACGTTCGAAAGGCTATGTTTGTGTAGTCTATTGTTCTTTGGAGATCGCGGCTTCGCTCCGTGAAGAAGCCGCTCGGCTGGCCGAACGCGCGCAGGTTGAGCACGCTCCAGCCCTCGTCGGCCTGGGCGCGGAACCCCTCGGACGGCAGCGCCAAGAGCTCGCTGCGCAGCCCCTCGAAGTGGTCGCCCAGCCACGCCGTCAGGCCCCCGTAGTGGCGGAGGCTGTGGAACGGCTCTGGGCGGATCCCCGGATAGAACGGGCGACTGCAGAGGAACAAATGACGGCATGAACCACACACACACACACACACTTTAGGTGGTCCACGTGGCTTACCACATGTGAAGCCTACCCCTGCAGATCAGGTTTCAGACAAAATGGCCGCGGGGCAGAATTCGGAGGATGTCTGAAACCCCGAACTCCAGCGGGGGTTGGGGAAAACAACAAATACCGATACCGCTACTCCACGGACTTCTCCTGGGATGCGGGCTGACCAGACTTCGAGGAGAATCCGGTCGCGGCGACGAGGGTTTTCCAGGACGAGCAGCGGTATGGGCGTCTGGTCCTCCCCTGAGGGGTGTCCGACATGTACCCCCACGCCTGTAGTTGGAGTCACGAAACGGTGCGGTGACAGACCGTGCGGTGATCTCGAAATCCCGCAAGACCTCACCGCACGGTCTGTCAACGCACGGTTTTGGGACCCCAGAGGCCCCTGTCGCCCGAGACGTCCTCGGAGAACGACCCGAGTCCCAAAACCGTGCGGTGACCCCGAATCCCCACCGACTCACCGCACGGTGTGGTCACCACACCGTTTGGGGGCCCCCGACTGTTGGACCCCCAGACTTCTGGGACCGGCGCTGGACCCCCCTGGGCGGCGCTCCGCCGGCGCGGCCCGTGGCCGCGCACCCGAGGGAGGGGGGGGCAGCACCGGCCCGAGAACTCCGCGCGGACCTGCGAGAACTGCTGCAGCCAACCAATGGGGGATGCGCGGCAAGGATGCGCGGGCCCTGGAAGGCCGTGTTGCCGCTTTTCGACCAGGGCCGGCCAGCGACGGTTGCCAAAGGGGGGTGGGCCGCAAGGACGCCACAGTGACCCTGGAAAGCTGCCCAGCCCCACTGTGAGGGTCGCCCGTGCAGCGGGTCCGTGCCCCGACGACCCCGCGTGGACCGTTCGACCCTGAACGATCGGCGGCCTCTCGATCGCCAGATCAGCCCACCTTGGCCGATTCTGTGCCGCCGCCGGCGCTCAACCTGGAACGCCAACGGCGGGGCCGCTGCCGCCGGCACCGCGAGGCCCAACAGTCTGCTCATTGGGGGAACCAAAAGGTACCGACACCGCCACTCCCCGGACCTCTCCTGGGGTGCGTTCTGGCCAGGATTTCGAAGCGAATCCAGCGGTGGCGACGAGGGCCTCCCCGGAGGCCCAAAAAGGGGAGAACAGGGAAAGGGTAGGGGTATGGGTACCCTTTCCTCCTCTGACTCACGCCGCTGTTCATTCCTCGGGATTGTGCTTCTGGCCCCTCTTCGCGTGCTCCGGGGGGAGCGGCCTGAGCTCCGCGTTGTGGTCCACGAAGTCCCAGAAGCGCCGCAGGCCGACGCCGCCCCGGCGGACGCCCTTGCCCGCCAGCGCCGTCTCGGCCAGCCCCCAGAAGTCCGCCTGTACGAGGCGGGAATCGAAGGGGCCCTGGGGCACACAAATAAATACACACACAAATCACCGGATTCCCCACATCTTCCCCTATTTTCTGGGTGTTTGTCTTCCCCCCACTTCCCATATGTTTCCATATTTTCCTGGGAGTCGACGGTTCATTGTGTCGGTGTGCTTTTTCCCCTCCTGAGGAATGTGCTCAAGTCCACCACCTGGGGAGCCGACGTCTGGGGACCCGAGGAGGGTGCGGCGGAGGTGGTTGCACATCGGGGCACCCTGGGCCCAAACATGTCCACATCAACAACCGCCTCCCGAGGTCCAAGGGGATCGGCCTCCCCGGCGGTGGGCACGAGGTGCTGAGCCCTTCCAGGGAGCAGCTCCCCATCCCGAGCCGCTTCTCAACGGCCCCAAGGCCAGGCCTGGCGCGGCCGAAGAGCGGTCCGTCGCGACTCTTCCGCGGGCTTGGCCAGCACCCCTTCTGGCAAATCTTGTGGGTGCCACGACAATGGACAACCTAACAGTCCTATGTTTTAGACATCTGGAAACTATTTGGCAACATGCCTCCTCTCCATGGACCGTCCTCCACAAGGCAAATCACACTGCGGTGAAGACGGCCCCGGGGCCAGACCCGGCAGGCGCAGGCCCGCGACAGGTGCGGCCATGGCGCCGTCCCGGAAACCGACAAAGAGCGATACGCTGATCGACTTGACAAGGCTCGGAGGTGGACAAACCTCCCTTTAGGTAAACCTCCCCTTAGTGAAAAGGGCCTGGGACCGAAACCGACGGACCTGGACCCGCAAAAATGACGGCCGCGACGCCCCGCGCGAACTGGAAACGGTCAATTTCTTTAATCAACGTGTCAGGGTAGGAGGTCTGTCCACCCCCGAAAGGCTCGTGGGCAGAGCACAGACAGCCGGACCCAGGACAGAAGAACATCCTTCAAGAGCATAAGACCCTCGGGTGGACCACAACACACAGAACATCCAAGGGTACCCTCCCCAGGATGCACAAGAACAGCCAACAGACAGGAGGATCACTAAGGTACCCTGCCCGAACAGAACTCGATCTCAGACCTCGGTCCGACCGTACCCGTATCCGCGGCCTCGCGGGCCGGGCCCCTGGGCCGCGAACCCGTGATCAACTACGGGCCATCTTTCGCGGATGTCCCGCGGGGAAGGTACCCATGCGACCGCGTGTCCACGGGATCGCGCCCCAGAATCCGGATCGCGAGGGCGCGGATGCCGATCTCGTGCAGGGCAGGAGTTCCCGAGCAACCTCCAACTTTCGCTGCGCGAGAGGTGGGGCCTCCCAGATGGGGGGTCCAGTAGATGGGGGTCGGAAAATCGCGCCGCATCGTCCGTGCATCGACGATGCATCAACGATGCATCGGCGACGTCGGCGACGTCGGCTTGGAGAAAACCTGCCTCCGCATCGAGCCGCATCGCCGATGCATCGGCGATGCAGCGCGACCCTCCGACCCCATCTGCTCGGACCCCGCGTGGGCATGTGGGCCGAGAGAGGTGTGTGGGCAACGCAGCCCCGCGCGGAACGTATCCATGCGACCGCGTGTCCACGTGATCGCGCGCCCGAGTCCAGACGCGTGGCTGCGAAGGGCGGGAACTGTCCCTCTCAACCTCCGCCTGTCACGTCGCGAGGATGCCAGCCAGCCACAACTCGGGGAATTGTGTTCCCTGCCTCCCTGGGACATCTCATCGTATCCACGATCTCTCGTCCGAAAGTCCCATCGAGCGCCCAAGGGTGTCTCGCCCCGCTTGCGGGCACGGCGTGCTGCACCATGCAGAAAGAGGAACCCAGGCCCATGCTTCCGAAAAAAAGCGCAACGACGATCTCTCGAGAGGCGTGTCGAAGCCGCGGGCCCCCCCGGTCAGGACCACAGCTTCCCCGATTGTGGCTGGCCTGGGATGCGAGGCACAGCCCGCCCTCGGAGCCTGGCCCCGCGCGCCTCCCGCCGCGGCCGCACCGCCCGCGCGCCGCGCGGCCAGCCCGCGCGGGCGCGCAGGCGCCGGCTGGCGAGCGCGCGCAGCACGGCCGCTGTCTGCGGGCAGCGGCGGGCCGCGGCGAGCGGGCGCGAGCTGCGCGGGCCGGCCGGCGGGGGCGAGGCAGCAGACGCTGGCGCCGGCAGCGCGCAAGGCGCGGACCCTCGCGGAGGGCCTGGCCGTGGAGGCTCTGGGCTGCGGCCGGCTGCCCCCCCTCCCAGGCAGTCCCGACTGGCCGCAGTGGGCCCCCCGAGTAGCCTCCTCCTCCTCCTCCTCCTCCTCCTCCTCCTCCTCCCTCCTCCTCCTCCTCCTCCTCCTCCTCCTCGGCGCCGCATGCGGCGACAACCCCTGGGGCGCTGCGCACCCCAGCGCCCGGGTCCTGACGCCGCCCGGGCCCCATTCCTGGCCCAGGCCTCGCTCATCGGTCCTGCCCAGTGGGAGTGCCGCGGAAGGCGGGGGTGCAAGGGCCGCGGCGGTCTTCCCACGGCGTGACACCCTGTTGCGTCGTCGCGTCCAAAATGGCCCGGCAGCGGCGACAAGAGGAGGATCGCTGCGCGCCGTGCGACAGGAGAGTGGCCTGCGTGCTCAGGGCTTGGCCCCCCCGCGCCCTCCGAGGGCTGCGAACCGACAGAAGAGACGTGCGCACGAGCTTTCGGAGACCCGCGCGGATTTCGTGGAGCGTTAGGAGGCAGCTACTGGGAGGTTTTCGTCGGAAAGACTAAAGAGGATTAAGCCCCAGTTGGGGGCTATTACGACGGAGTGGGCCTCGGATTAAGCGGCATTAAGCGGGATTCAGCCGGATTCAGCCGGCCTTCGGACCAGTGCAAAATCAGAATTTGACCTCCCAGGAGTTGCGTCCCAAGGAGCGGTCCTGGGCCCCCCCCCCCTGGCGGCGCCGGAGGCTCCGCCAGGGGGGTCCCGCCGCGACGCAAGAAATCCGCGCGGAGCTGAGAAAATCTGCGCGCAGAGTCATCGCGCTACCATGGGCAAAACGCTGAGCAAGGAACGGCAGAATGTTTCTGGCCATGGCGAGAATCGGCACTGAAGGGGTCAGGGTCCCCACACCTATAGATCGAAGAAGCGGCCCAGAAACCAGAGCGAGATCGTTTACTTTGTTCTGGCGAGTAACGGTCGTCACCCAGGGAGCTCTGGGCCCCGGGTAACGGTAACGCTCGGGCGGAGTGGGGCTCGTCGGGGCGGGGGGGCGCGCTTCGATCGCCATGGTGGAATGCGCCCGAGCAGCACTCTACGCCGGCGAGCCTGAGAGCACAGGCAGGGCACATGCGAGCACCGCAATGACCTACGAGCGACCAGTGTGCACATTCGACAGCCATGCCACAGCGCGGGCACCACGGTATTCGTCGTCGTCGGCATCATTGGAGACGTCATCGCAGCCGTCCTCATCGAAATAGATCTTCTGCGCTATCGGCGTCGCCGTCAGAATCCAGGGCGTCGTCGTTTGAATCGCCACCGTCGTCGCCGTCGTCGTCGCGGTCGACAGCGTCGGAGTCGCCGTCAAAGTCGTCATCGTCGGAATCGGTTGCATGGTCGTCGAGTTCGTCGTCATCAGAATCGTCGTTGACGTCGTCAACGTCGGAGTCACCGTCGTCGTCGTCGTCGTCGAAATCGCTGTCATCGGAATCGTCGTTATCGTGCTCCTCCTCCTCCTCCTCAACATGTTCCTCCTCCTCAACAGCGTCCTCCTCCTCCTCCTCCTCCTCCAACTTCTCCTCCTCCTCTTCCTCCTCCTCCCTCGTCTCCTCGTCCCCCTCCTCCTTCTCCTCGTCCTCCGCCTCCTCTTACTCCTCCTGTGCTCCTCCTCTTCCTCCTCCTCCTCCTCCTCCTCATCCTCCTCTTCCTCCTCCTCCTCCTCCTACTCATCCTCCTCCTCATCCTATTATTCCTCGTCATCCTCCTGATCGAACCCCTCCTCCTCTTCCAACTCCTCCTCCTCCGTTTCACAATAAACCAATCGACTGGCGGTGGTGAGCAGGGCAACTGAAGACGACGAGAAAGACGAGGACGACGAGGCCGACGACGACGACGAAGACGACGACCGAAGACGAAGACGACGACGACGACGATAACGACGACGACGACGATGACGACGACGACGATAACGACGACGACGACGACGACGACGACTGACGACGACGATTATGGGCGACGACGAAGACGACGACGACGACGACGACGACGACGACGACGACGACGACAAGCGACGACGGCGACGACGACGATCACGATGACGACGCCGTCGCCGCCGCCGCCGACGACGACGACGGCGGGGACGACGAACGACGTTGACGACAATGGCAGTGGCTGCCGCAGCGGCGGCACGATGGAAACCGCCACCGCGCTTGAAGCGGCTTGTGCGTGTCGGACCCTGACCTCAACCATGCTGTTCCTTACCTCCCTCGTCCTTCTTCGTCGTCGCCGTCCTCCTCCTCCTCCTCCTCCTCCTCCTCCTCCTCCTCTTCTTGCCCTTCCCTCTCTTGCGAACATTTCACTCATATGCGAACGCCGCAACGTGCCCGCGAACACCACAACGCTTGGGAGCGCCACGCGCACTTGCACCAGCACGCCGGACCCTGCCAGAATCACCGAAGAGCGAGCAGCGCAACACCTGCTCGGACACCACCAACAAAACTGCTCGTGCCACGGTAGCACGTGAGAGCCGCAGCACAACCGTGAGCAACACAGCTCGCATCTCGGCACCTGGATGTCGAGGGAGGGTACAGACCCCCCCCCCCCCGGGCACGATCGTTACTGCTACCCGGGGAGGGGGGGGGGAGGGGGGTAGCGAGCCTTACCCGCCAGAGGGAGAAACACGGTCTCGGCCCCGACCTGAGCCCCAGGCGATCCTTCTCTCGGCGTCTTGACCGAGAGCCGATCTTCCTGCCTCGTCGGACCGAGGGCCACTCCTGCGAAGGGCCACTCTCGCGTGCAGCCGCCGGGCTGAACCTGAACGGCGTTCTTCGTTTTTTCGTGTTGTTCTCGTTTTACCTGGATGTTGCCTCGAAGCCGCCTTTCCCGCAAAACAACATCGACGCGAAAATGGCCCACGAAATCGCAAAAAACAACAACAAACAAAAAAAAAAAAAACGTTTAGGTCCAGCCCTGTGCAGCCGATGGCGGCGGCCGCGAGGCGCCGGCCGCCAGGCCGGCGCGGCGAGGTCGGCACAGCACGGGCCGCGGGCCGGGCGCCCCGCGCCGCCGCCTCCCGCAGGCCCGGGGGCCTCTGCCGCGCCCGTGCGCGCTCGGGTGGCTCCCGCATCGCTGCGGCGCTACGGGGTGCTCGATCGCGCCTGGGCCAAGATGGGGAACGGGGTCTGACACCAGGGCTGAAGCTAAACAGTGTTCTTCGTTCTCGTTCTGTGTTCGCTCTCCCTCGTTTTTTGTCTTCCATCCGCCCACGAGAGCGGCCCACGAAATCGCCAACACACCGTTTCGGTCCACCCCCGTCTCACACTGGGGGGGCAGAGCAGCATCCACGACACGCCGCCGTGAGGAGACCCAAAGAGTTGCAGAGGCACGCAATGAATGCTCTCTGCTGGCCAGGGAGAGGAGGAGCAGCACGCGGAGGCGCAGCCCAACGGCGGCGTGTCAGTGTGATGATCTCTCGGCGCCCCTCCCGAGAAACGCGGAGGAGGAGGAGGAGGAGGAGGAGGAGGAGGAGGAATAGGAGGAGGAGGAGGAATAGGAGGAGGAGGAGGAGGAGGAGGAGGAGGAGGAGGAGGAGGGCTGGCTCAAGGGGGAGACAATGGCCTGGAATCGAGGCCACATTGCGGGTGGATCGCAGCCCCAGCGTCTCTGGGCAGGCCGGGGCACCCCGGCCCCGATGGGCGAGCCATGGCCGATTGGGAGTCGATGCAGCCCGTCTCCCCTCGGGAATGGACAGAACCCCCTTTAGCAAAACGTGGTTTGGTGAGAACGACCTCGGGCCCTAACCTGGCAGGGGCAAGCCTGAAAAATGACGGCCGCGGCGCCCTCTGGAGAACCAAAAACGGACCATTCACTGATCGACGAGTCGAAGTGGGGGTTCTGTCCGCCCCCGAAGTCTCCCCCCCATTATAACCAGTGTCGTCGTGAGTTGTTCGTATCGAGAACTGCTGAAGTCTCGGACAACTCCCAGAGCACTGGCTTTGAATTCCGAGTTGTCTCTTGACGGTCCCCGGTCTCAGCAAGGGCCCCTACGAGGCCGAAGATTGCACGCCGACTGCAAACAGCCGTCGTGCCTTCGTTCCCGACGCGAGGGGGTCTGGGCCTGTAGGCGCCCGGGACACTCGCAACAGGAGGGGAGCCGATGCAATCGGGGGGCCGCTGGCCCCGAGACGCCTCGGACCAGACGGCGGCGACGGCGACGACCACGGCCGCGATGGTGACGCTGGCACGTGGGAACCCCCAAGGAGAACGAGAAGGAGGAGAAGGAGGAGAAAGAGGAGGAAGAGGACGAGCAAAAGCCGCAACAGCTGGAAGTGGAGGGGGAGGAGGGGGAGTAGGAAAGGATGAGGAGAAGGACGAGGATGAGGAGAAGAGGAGGAGGAGGAGGAGGAGGAGGAGGAGCCCAAATCTCCGAAAAGGGCACTTGTTGAATCCGGGCGTTTGTTTCCTTGATTTCGGCGTCACGACGCCCGAGAGGTCGAGCCGCGGGACCAACGGAAATGGATCCAGGACGAGACATCACCCCATGGGGGAGCGTTCGGGCACGCTCTGGCCGCAAATCGACGAACACACGTCGTCGAATGTCTGGGTTGGACTGTGGGAGCCCTCGGATCGAGGCGTCGCAAGGGCAATACGTTTCCGGCCTCTGGAAGCCGCTTCCTGGCCCCAGGACCGCCAGAAACGACACAGGATGCCAACGCAGTCTCCGATGAAGAGGTCAAGATCCTCGGGGCACACGTCACCCCCAACAAAACGTCACGAGACAGGGAAAGGGTCCTGGACCTGGACTTTCCTTGGGGCTAATGTTTTACCCGTCGTTGTTTGACAGTCGAAGCTCAGCTCTGGAGGGACCACCCCGTTCCTCTGGTGCCCCTTGGCTCCTATACGAGCGATGGCACGACGGCAGCGACGAAAATGATAACGACGATAACGACGACGGGCTGAGCGCTGCACATAATGCAGGGCCGAGAAACCGCCTCCTGAGGCCAAACAAAACGAAGGACCGACCGTCAAAAGAACACCGTGTGAACCCTACCGCTGCATGTCAGATTTCTGGAACGACGGCTGGGGCTCAGAATTCGAAGGGTGTCTACAGCCAAATGAACCCAGCAGGGGTGTCCGATACTCCAGCGCCGACTGAACCCGCAACGGCCAGGCCGCAAGGCTCCAGGTGAACCGTGGGTGTCCCGCATCGCCCGCCCCGCATACTGCGGCGCCTGGGCGCAAAACCTCCGAGTGACTCAACGACAAGCGAGGGGGGGGGGGAAATAAGCAGGAGCAAGCCTGCTCAGAAGACGCCGGAGCTTCTCAGAGGGCCTCCGGCTCTCGGAGAGGTGCTTGAAACATTATCAGAAGGCCGATGGACTTCCGAGCCTTCTGGGGAGGCCCGCCCCGTTTTACTTCCCTCCCTCTCTCGCCGCCGAAGTGGCCCCTCTGAGGTCCCCTAAACTCCACGGAGGAAGAAACACAGAACGAGAAAAGGAATTCGCCGGCCCAACGGGCCAGGGCGTGCTAAGATCTCCGGTAACTGGTTAACAGTATTAACAGTATTTCTAGTTCGCGCGCGGAGGGCGGCCCCTGGGGGTCCCCCCGCGAAAAGTACCCCGACCAACGCCCGGTCGCCGCCCGGTCGCCGCCCGACCGCCGCCCGACCGCCGCCCGACCAAGTCTACTCAGAGATGGTTTTCCTTCTGGGTGCGGCCTCTCAGGCTCCCCAGAGCGCGCTCAGAGTGCCCCAAGAGGCCCCCAAGACTGCCCAAGAGGCCCCCGAGACGCCCAAAGAGCGCTCGAAGACGCCGAAGATGACCCCAAGACGGCCCAAAAGGCCCCCAAGACAGCCCAAGAGGCCTCCAAGACGCCCCAAGAGCCTTCCAAGAGGCCTCCGAAGAGAGCCCCAAGAGGCCAAAATCGTTGATTTTCATTGGTTTTTTCGATGTTTTTTGTGTTCTGGCTTTTTCGGCTTCCGGACGCTCCAAGACGGCCCAAGAGGCCCCCAAGACCGCTCCAAGACGGCCCACGAAGCTCCCAAGACGGCGCCGAAACGACCCAAGAGAGCCCTCAAGACGGCCCAAGTGCCGCCCAAGACGGACCAAGAGGCCCCAAGACGGGCCCAAGAGGGACTCAGGAGGGATACCGAGAACTCAAAAATGGAGCCCTCCGTCCCAGAAGGCGCCCAGGAGGTCCCAAAGAGGCCCCAAGAGGCCTCCAAGAGGCCCCAAGATGTCGCCAAGAGGCCCCAGGAGACTCCCAGGAGGCCCAAAAGAAGCCCCAGAAGGCTTCAAACATGTCTCCCAGGCGCCCCCGAACGGCCTCTCAACAGACCCCAAGAGGCCCCCCAAAGAAGCATCTTGACGACGACTCTATTTCGCCCCATCGAGAGACGACCCCCAGGGAACTGCTTCACCATCAAAACTCCCCACGCAACGCGTCCGAACGACACCCGCCCCCAATAGCGCAACATGGGCAACGAACACACAGACAAAAACCAGCGATGCCATATCACGGGCCGGCGGAATGAGCGAAGCGATTCAATAACTAACAGACAGCCCCAGTTGGGAGGCTTCTCGGCGTCACGCCATCAAGGCGTCATGACGCCATGCCGTCCACCGACACCTGGAATAGAGACACACAAACATGTGTACGTAAACACCTGGCGGGGACAGCCATCATACATGAAAACGAATCGGGAGCATACGCCAAGACAATACACCAACGATGTATACCAACAGCATGCATCAAGCACACACGTGAACAGAGGTAAGATCCAAAATGGACAATTACCCATTACCAGGATCATGCACGGACACCAAGAACAGGCACAATGGCGAGGCAACAGCAACACGCGTCAAGACCACGCACGTATAGCACACAGCCAACACAAAGACCAATAATATGCATCACGCTTTAGACCAAAAAACAGACTACCACAACAGCAACGACAATAACAACAACAACAACAACAACAACAACAACAATTACTAGCACGTGGGGACACACCGTTCTCACCAGTGCCAGGGTTTTCATAGGAGGCGGGCAATACCCCCACTTTGTGGGGGGGCCGGTTCAAGCTCTACCAAATTTCCAAACGACTCTTCGCCACCACCCACACCCAGCTTCCCGCCCTATGACGTTCGGACACTTCACTTCGTGGCATGCGGACGACCGTGGCTACTATTCAGGGCCCCGCGGCCGACGACGACGGCGTGCGCGCGCGAAGAAAAAACGAATGTGTCCCGCATGGTATTATTTGACAGGGATGATGGCCCTGGCAGGTGCGCAACCGTTGTTGCAGAAGTTCGAAAAAGTTGCTCGCAAAAGCCCGTTTGACAGAAATGTTTAAAAAGTGTTGGGTTTCCTACGAATCCGCAAGAGCGCGCGGGATGAAATTTTGGCATTTTTTTTTGAAAAACCATTGGTTTTTGATGTTTTTATGTTAAAATCGCTACGAAAACTAAGGTTTTGGAAGGATTTCGTCTTGCGCGCGCGAATGTCCACTTTACCTTATTTGTTGCAAGGGATTCTTGAAGTTTGGTTATGTTAGAACAAGAAATGTCCACTTTAGCTTATTTTTGCAAGGGAAAACCGATCGTAACAACACAACCGGATCTGGATCACATCGTTTTACCTGAGACTTCCTCACGAAAATGATGAAAATGAGGCTGCGGCCTAGGCGCGGCGGGGGGGTCGCGCACCAGGGGCCCCAACAATAATTATTCTTTAGAAGTAATAATCTTCAACCACAACAACAACAACATCAACAACAACAACAACAACAGCAGCAGCAGCAGCAACAACAACAACAACAACAACAACAACAACGACAACGACAACGACAACGACAACGACAACGACAACGACAACAACAGCAGCAGCAGCAACAACGACAACACCAACCACAACGCCACCACCAACAACAACAACGACAACAACATCAATGACAACCACAAACACCAAGACAACCATACTATTAACAACAACAACAACAAACCCAACAAACCGTCACAACGAACGTCTAACATTACGCAAATCAACCACGGGCGCCCGGAACACGCATCAATACCGTACACCACGATTTTACAACACACAGCAAGCATCAAGAACCGCCACCTAGAACATACACACATTCCACATGTCCATAACGGGCGCCCAAATCGCGCACCAAGACGATGTCATCAAGCAAACGGCAAGATCATACACCAAAACTTGAGCAACGATCAAACGCAAAGAATGGACACCAACAACAGACACCAATAACAAAAACGCAATATTCTATCACAAAATAGCTTGGTGCCATCTACTGGCGCGGTGTCCACACCGGCATAAAGCGAAACGGACATGGCACAGCCAGGGCCAGTGCGGAACGGGCGGCGGCGGCGCGTGACGCCACCCACGCCACAAACGCCTCCCCGCTCGGGCCCTGGCGACACCGCGACAGGTCGACAACACCGGGTAACTCACAAGGCGGCGAGGGCGGAAGCAAGAGATACAGAGGCGGGCACGCGAGGCGCTCCTGAATAATATACCCACATCCAGGCCCATGGCCGCACGAGCGACGCACCTGCGATCGCGCACGGCGGCGGGGACGCGCGTCGCCGCGCCCCCCCCCCCGCGCGCGCCCCGTCTGATCCGCCCGCTCGGCATGCCCGCCGGCGACGCCCGCGCGCGCGTCGCCCAGCGCTCCGCGGGCGCGCGCCGCGCGAATGGGCCCCCGCGGCATTTTGTCATCGCCCGCGGTCTACGACTGCGAATGCGCCATAAAATAACCCAACGCGCCATAAATAGCCCAGCGCTCCGCGGCGCCCGCGCCGGCATCAGGCGAAACAGACGCGGCGCAGCCGGGGCCGGCGCCGAGCGGGCGACGCGACCCGCCCCGGGAACGCCGCCCACTGCTTCGCGGCGCCGTCGCGACGCCCGCGCCAGCGCCCCCCGCGCCGGTCGCCGGGAGGGCGCCGCAGCGGCGCCCGGCCAGCGGCGCAAGTCACGAGGGCCTGTCTGGAAAGCGCGCGACAGCGCGCCTCGCGTGCAGCGCGACGCACTGAAGGGTCGTTTTCAGCCGCGTCGCCGCCGAGCGACTCCGCGCCATGCGCCTCGTTTCCCGCGCCGCGGTAAAAAACGCTGAAGAGAGGGTGCCGACCCCCCGTCGCCGGCCCGCAGAATCTCGGCCGCGGCCAGGCGGACCCCGCGCGCCGCGAGGTCTGGCGCGTGTCCTCGCCGGAAATCGCGCGCCCAGCACCGCTGCGAAGTTGGCGAGCCGGGTCTCGCGAGCGCCGCCCAAGTGCTGCCTGCGCATGGGGCGGGCGGAACTGCGCGAACGGGAACGCATTCGCTGGGGAACTCGCCGAAACGGCCCCAGCACGCGAAGCGGGCAAGCCCCGCGGGGCCCCCTGCGCCAACGCGGCCGGGACAGCGCGCCGAGGCCTTGCCAATGCTCTCGCCGAGCCAGCCTCGAAGATATCTCATAGAAGGGGGGGGGCGATGCATTCGCGGCAATCTACTTCCGCCCAGCCCCCTGACGAACCGACCACTATCAGCGGCGTTTCCGGCGGGGGCCAAGGCGGCTACGCATGCGCGCGCAGGGACAGCTTGCGTAGCTGCCGCCCGCGCCATGCCTCGCCCAACGCCCTCGTGAAACGCGCTAGAAAATTTTCGCGGATGAGCATTCTCGGCCGCGGCTGCCATCCCACCCGGCCGCAATCGCCTGCTTGGCCCGCTTTCTCGCGGGGCGGTCAAACGCGTCAACGGGCACTCGCGCCAATGCACGAGCGACAAGTTGCATGCGTCGTCCCGCATGGGAAACGCGCGCCCCGCGTCGCGAGCCCGCCAACGGTCGGTGGCGCCACCGCATCGGGCTCCACATGGAGCACAAACATCACAAAACATGGGCGCAACACCTTACGCCGCCGTTCACACTGGACCACGACCTTGGACGACTGCCGTGGATCGCGACCACTCGCGCGGCGCCCGTCCACCCGCTGGCGATCCATTTGGCGGCCGCAAACGCAACGAGCGGAGGTGCTTCGTTGCGGATATCACGCAGCTGCGCAATAGTGAGTCTCACGGCCATGGCCCCTCGCGCGTCAGGGGACAGCGCGTCGGACCTTGCCGCGCGCGCCGCGGTTTAGGTGGGGGCAGGCGGCCGCGCCACCCAGCGCGGGCAACGACGCCTCCGCCTGCGCCGGCGTCGCGCCGCCCCGCTGGCGAACCAAGCTTCAGTCCGCGGCGCGCCGCGCGCGCGAGCCCGCGCCAGCCGCGGCCCACGGCCACGGCCACTCCCAGGACCACTCAACACGCTGGAAACCATCAGCTCGCAGCCGCACCTCGGCGCCCACCGGCCGGGTGGGCGCGTCAACCAGATGCTGTCTAGATTGCACGCGCCAGAAACTGGCGGCGCAATCCGCCGCCGTCAGCCAAATCCCCGCCACCTCATGTCGCGGCAACGGGCCACGTCGCGCGCCCCCCGCCCCCGCGCGGACATCGCGCACGAGCTCGCTTCAATCGTTTCGCGCGAGGACCCCCTGCGCAGGATCCCCATCGCGGAGCTGCCATCGATGAGCACGGCGACTTCCTCACCCGGGAAGGTCCTGCCCACGTGGCGCACACCCGCAGCAAAAGCCCGGACGCAGCGCCCTTAGTCTTCATGGGTCGCAGCCAGCGCTCGACGGCGGCGGACGCCATGACTGAAGCGAACGTCTTCCCAGCTGGGGGCGACATTGCCCACGCCAGGCACCCCTGTCGCGTCCGCATGCAGCAACACTCTCTGACGGCCACACCAGACACACGGGCACACCCGCGCCCACCAGAGCAACGCCAAGCGCGAGCGCCTGGTCACGCGGCATGAGGCTGGGCTGGCATGGAAGAGTAACGGCGCCAGGTACGGCCTCGCAGAATAACCGAACACTCACCCGACCCTTGGTGGCCAGTCATGTGTTGGGCCGCCGCCGGGAACATGTGGCCAGCGCGCAAAACCTCCTCATTCTGGGCAGTCCACATCCGCGCGATGTCTTCCAGCATACTCAGGAGCAAGCGCTGGTCATCGTCGCATCGCCAAGCGAGCACCGAGGATCTTTTTGCTCCCCAGCGCAATTTTCGAGGGGAGGAGGGGGAGCGGACCAAGCAGCACGATGCGGAGCGCAGCGATGCGATCGTGGCGCCACTGAACTACGTCAAATGTTAATGCCCGGCCCTTTACAGGAGTGTCCGGCGAGAGATGGCTTCAGAAAAAGCTTTCTCGTTCTCTCTCTCTCTCTCTGCGGCGCCAGGCTTAAAGCAGAGATAAAAGACTGCGGCAGAGTGAAACAGGAGCGGAGGGAAGCAATGAGGCGGAGGACAAGGAGGAGGAGCAGAGAGGCGGGGGCCGCGAGGAAAAAACACTGGAACGAAACTGTGAAGGCTTCAAGGCGAAATCGAAAGTACCTCAATGAATGAAGTAGTGCGCCCAGGAGCTCAAGGAACTCAGATATCTGATTAGTCAGTGAACGAGCCTCCGCCATGACCCACGTCGCGGCAGAAGTCACAGCTAGGGAGGGCGACACGCTGCAAGCGGGCGGAGACTCCGCGGCGGCGGCGGTAGAACGACAGCAATGCTCCGCCAATCCTAGCACTCCGCAGGTGGCTCAGGAGAAGCCGACAGCAACACAGAGGCAGCAGGAGACAATCCCCTGGACTGGTACTGAATTGACCTAGGAAGGCAAGGCCCGCCCTAGGTCTGTCCCCCGACCCCTGGCCGGAGCGCCAAGCGCCCCACGCGTTCCGCGCCCCAGGGCAGGGCCGCATAACCGAGGATCTTGACCTCTGATGCGTTGGCGCACTCTTTATCGCAATCCACGGTCCACTCGAGCAGTCCTTCTACCACGCGGCGGTTTACAGATGCCTCGCCATCTGGTTCAACGAACAAGCCAGCCCACTGGGGGGCACTCGTGGCACGCGGAGGAGGTGTCGTCGACGCGCCTCCCTCTGCCCACTCCGAACCCAGGAGGTCCAGGGATTGCTAAAGTAGGCGCCAGATGCAACATGCACGTGCCACGTCTGTAAACTGCAAGTGATGCTTACAATAGGACGCGCTGTTTGTTTTAGATCGTGAGTTGTGTAATTAGACGCTGCTGCCTACACAAGAACAGGTAGATATATAGGCGCATCTTGCGACATGGCAAGGTCGCACGAAAAAGTCGGGTCCTGCATTCCAGGCATCGTGCTTTTATAGCGATTACACTGCGCATGCACGGCGCCGCATTTCTGTTGGATTCGCACTGCATTGCGCGCGCGTTGTTCGCGGTGAAAGAAGATCCAACATACATAAGCACATACTTATTTATATATACTAGAAACCACGCGCACTTCGCGCGCGCTTAGGTTCTAGCGCAGGCCAGGGAAGCGTTAGAGTACAGTGGGATCCTCCTCCTCCCCCTTTTCGGGGATGACGGACGATAGAGGGGAAGGGACAGGAATGATGAGTCAGGGTGAAGGCGTCAGCCAAACCTTGCGAGCCCGGAGTGTTAAGGCGTGTGAGACATTTGGGTGTCCCACTCCCCTCCCAGGGGTCCAACATCGGACTAGAGAGGGGCAGGGCTCGGGGGGCCAGGAGGGGGTAAACGAGCTGCTCAACGCACCCCCTAGGTTTCCAGAGCCTGCAAAGAGCCTCAAAATGGCCCAAGAGAGCCCAAACAGAGCGCCACCACAGCCGAGAGAGCATCGGATCGATCGTGAGATTGATAGTGAGCTCGGAACTGAGATCGATCGGGAGATCGATTGAATTAGGTCAGTAATGAGATCGATCGTGAGGTCGATTGTGATTGATAGTGATATCGATGGTTGGATCGACAGTGAGCTCGATCGTGAAATCGACCGTGGGATCGATAGAATTACTTCAACAGTGAAATCGATAGTGAGATCGATTGTGATCGGTTCTGATATCGCCAGAGAGTTCGTTAGCGAGATCGGTAGAGGCGTTGGTTCCTTCCCCCCCACAACCTCCTTAATACCCGAAGGGTGGAAGTTTATCGGGTCTGGTGCGGCTGCAACTGCATCCCGGATGAGGGCTGTCGTTGTCCAGGTTGGGGATTGCGGCTGCATAAACCGCTCTGGACAGACAATTCCCGACTGAACCAATAAGGCATCTCGCTACACGATGATCGTGTCGCGCTGTCCGCCCTCAGTCGCAGCAGTGTCCAGAGAAGCACGGGGCACGCAGAAAGAATCGACGGTCTGACACTTAGGTCGGACGGCGGAAAGAGCGACTCCACACGCGAGGCTTATCAGGAGTCTCGCGAGCCATCATAAGGGGAACGGAAGACGCAGGAAAGGGAAGACGGGAGGCGGGATGGAGCAGAAAGGAGGAAGAAGAGAGGAGAGAGGATAATTTGGGAAAGACGAGAGGCGAGGGAGTAAGGAGGGACGAAGAAGCTAGCATACCTCATGTGGCTTTCATGGGCTCACGGAGCCATCTCTGACTACAGACAATACAAGACAGACATCCGTATGACTCTGGAGCGACCCTTCTGAGGAACCTCGTATGACTCTCCAGCGACCCTCAGGGCGTCATCTCGGCGACCGCCCTGGGGCTCTCATGGGCTCCTGGAGCCATCTCTGACTACAAAATAAAGCAGAACTCCTTCTGAAACTGAGACGACCCTTCTGGGAAACCCCTCATGACTCTCAAGCGACCCTTCGGGCGGCATCTTGGAAACCACTATAGACCTCTTGGACTCTCGTTGTGCAATATACGACCCCTACTGCTACATTTTGGAACACTTCCGGGCCATCCAAGGGCCTCCAGGGGCAGTGGCTGGATCCGCCGGGTGCCCTACGTCTTGAGGTCTCGCGGGTCATCTAGAAGTTGAAGGCTCGAAAAACAGTTCGCGTTCCCCCTCTTGAACATCTCTTGGATCCCTTTTCGGGCTCTCTTGGGCCATCTGAGGGGCCTCCTGGCTCGTCATGGGACCCTCTTGGGCCGTCTTGGTGCCGTCTTGGGCAGTCTCTGGGCGATCTTGGGAGCCTCTTGGTTCGTCGCGGACGCTGTTCAGACCAAAAAAGCGAATATGTTAAATATGCAGATTTGCCCGAATAATTGGGGACGGCATACCTCTCTTGGGAACCTCTTTGGGGCCTTCTTGGGACCCTCTTGGGGCGCCTTTTGGGCCTCTTAGGCGGTCTGGAATACTTCCATTTGGGGCCCTCATGGGGCCCTTTTGGGCCGTCTTGGGCGCCTCTTGGGCCGTGTTGAGCCCCTCCTGAGCCGTCCTGCGGACCTCTTGGGGGCCTCTTGGGCTGTCTTGGGGCGATTTGGGGGGCATCTTTGGCCGTCTTGGACTCTCTCAGGACCCCAAAGGGAATATGCTGAACAGGTACATTGTCCTGTAGAAGTGGGGCAAATTTGGACCTTCTGCGGCCCTCTCGAGGAACATCTTGGACCTTATTGGTGCGTATTGAATCTCGGGCCTTCTTCGATGGTGACGACGACGAGGACGACGACGCAGACGACAGAACGTCGACGACGACGACGACGACGACGACGACGACGACGACGACGACGACGACTACGACGAAGGAAAGGAGAAGGAAGTGCATGGCAATATTTTGGAAGCTTGTGACGTGTTGGGAGCCTCTCGGGGCAAACTGCGCTTCCTAAGCTCCGCTTCGGCCTTCCTGGGGCCGTCGAAAAAACGTCGCGGGACATCTTTATCTTTGAACCGTACTGGGCCTCTCTTGGGGCTTTCGGGGGCGTTCGACATCAGTGTGGTCAAATGGACTCGGCCATCTTGAGCTTCCCTTGGTGCCCATGGGCGAGCCCAAGATCACGGCCCGGGTACGCATGCGTCCTAGTGACCCCAGGGGCGCCCTGGTGGCCCCCAAAGTGGCCCCGTGGGCGCACAAATGGCACACAAACTGGTACGACAATATACCAGATCCGTCCATCACACCCCGAGAGCGCCGATGATGCCTTGTGAACGGCCTCCGAAGGCTTCTAGCCTGCGCCAGGCTGGCCCCGGGAAGGCTTCAGTGGGCTCCCGAGGACCCTAACGAGTGTCCCGAGAAGTAACAATATGTGGTTTCCTATGGAATTTCATTGTCATGCGGTCGTCGGGGAGTGATTTTCCGGCGACTCGGGCGCAACTCGGTGCCCTGTTGGGCTGTCCTGGAAGTGTCTTGGGGTGGCTTTGGGGCGTCTTGAATGCTCTGAGCGCGCCTGGGGGGAATTCCTGAAACGGTCTTGAAGCGGGTGGTGGTGCTTCTGGGGCTGGGTTGGAGGTTAGAACGTCGACAAGCCAAAGAGGCGGAAGACCTCAAAAACATCAAAACCCGCTGGGAGGCTTGTCTGGCGCCCCAGAGGCGCCCCGAGAGCCTGGAGTCGCCTCTTGGGCACCTCTGGGGCCCCTGAGCCCCCCATGCGCATGCGCCGTCGAGCCCCCAGCCCCGGGCCCCCTCGGCATCGTGGACAGGAGTGTGGCAGACGACGGGTGCAGCGGCGGCGACGACAACGGCGCCGCAACTACGAGGACGACGACGACGACGACGACGACAACTACGACGACATCTGCGACGACTGTCACGACTACCACGAAATCCCGAGGGAAGCAATGAGCCCCACGGCCACGACGGCGTCCCTCCGCCCATCGCAGCGCACCCATCACACGGATTGTGCGCCAGAAGGACTCGGTTTCACGTGCCCCATTGTGGGAGGATTCACATAACATCACCTGCACCTAGGGCGACTG